TTCCGGCCTCAATCTATCTGCTGAAATTTTATGACCCAAGTACAAGATCTTGGTGCGACCAAACTCGCATTTATCCAAGTTTACCTTGTACTGGTGCTGTCTTAGGAGGTCTAGCACTGTTTTCAAGTGCTCAGCGTGCTCCTCTACACTCCTACTAAAGATGAGAATGTAGTCGAGGTACACGACGATAAACTTATCCAAGTAGTCGTGAAAGATCCTATTCATCACGTGCTGGAACGTACCAGGCGCATTGCATAGGCCAAAAGGCATCACCACAAACTCGTACAGACCGTACCTGGTCTGAAATGCGGTTTTGTGTTGGTCCTCAGGCCTAACGGCAATTTGATGGTATCCGGACTTCAGATCTATCTTTCTGAAGTACCGACATCCCTGCACTCTATCCAAGAGGTCGTCAATGCTGGGTAGGGGCTCCACGTTCTTAACGGTGATGGCATTGAGGCCCCTATAGTCAATGCACATCCTTAATGGACCTCCCTTCTTAGGAACAAATAAGACTGGCGCATCGTAAGGGGAGGTACTAGGCCGTATCCATCCCTTCTCTGTGAGGTCCTTTAGCTGGCGGCGAAGCTCATCTAACTCCGCAGGAGACATCCTATAGATTCGTCCTCTAGGCACCCTATTACCTGGGACAACCTCTATTGCATGGACAACCTCCCTTTCCACCACGCCTGTGGGCTCCTCAAAAAGGTCTGAATATTGTGAGACGACTTTTTTTCTATCTGTGGGGGTGATTTAACGGCCTCCCCTTTCTCAGAGACAAAGACTAGATACATGCCCTCCTCCTGATTCTGCTTGTCATAGTTATAGAAGGATGAAGCACACATACACCCGTAGTTCTCTATCAGACTGCTAGCTTTGTACTTCTGCAATCTTACAGTTCTACCATTGGGCAATTTGTGGATCCATACCTTTCTATCCCAGTCAAACTGGTGTTGTGAGACTTCGAGGTAGTACATGCCTAGTAACATATCGAATGGTAGCTCATCGCTCACAAGGAAAGAGATCTTGTGGATCACTTCCCCTCCTCCATAGGAGAAGGTACAGGCTACGTCCTTGACATAGTCCTTTACCACCATTTGGTGCTTGTTGGCTAGCGTAGAAGCTACAGTTCTGCTAAGCCGCTGCACTTGGTCTCCTAAGCGCAGTCTATCCACACAAGCACGACTGATGAAATTTCATGTAGAGCCTATGTCTGCGAAGGCGCCAACCTTGCAGCCACCTACATCTACTTCTACCACGAAATGCTCACCTTTTGGACCTCTACTTATCATCGCCCAAGAGTCCCTGACCACTCAGTCTCTAACTCTTCTAGGGCCTCAGACACATCTCTCGAATAGAGCGTCGGTGGGTCTGAATGTGTCTGAGGGGCGATACGTGGGTCACTAGCCTTGGCCAACGCCTGAAGTGGGGAAGGCAACGTTACCACTTCAGCGCGAGTAAGAGCGGCTAACACTCCTACTGGCCCGAGGTGTTTCCCTGTGAGCTGCTCGCAGAAGCACCCCCAGTGTTCGAAGATAAGCCCACCACCGTTGGCGAGGCTACCTTCGTGGTGATCTTCTTGCCGCGGCAAGTCCTGGACGTATGGCCATAGTTGCCACAGTTCATGCATGTAACCCTGGCAACTCGATACCTCCACACCTCATAATCTAAACCAATCTTCACCCATGCGGGTGTTCCTTGGTCGCCCTGACCCGTGGACCGTACTACCTTCTTCTTCCCGGTCCCCCTAGCCTTTTCCTTGATGGGTGCCACGACTCCACCATCTGAAGTCTCACCACCCCCATCGTGCTCTGTGAACTCCCCAAGATCTGAGTGGTCGTCAATCTCCGTCGTTTGACCATCGTGGTCAACGAACATTAACTGACCCTTTTTCTTCCAATCTTGGGGCAGTCTCTTCCTACCATCGTTGGGTGCCTGATGCGCAGATCCTAGCTTTGCCTCGATGTCCAGGGCTTTCTTACCGAAGAAGCGAAGGTGTGATGTTCAACATAGCTGATGCTCCAATCTTTGGTCCTTACCTCTGAAGGTAGGCACCTTAGGTAATCCGTTAGGAGAACCTGCTGGTCGAAACGCACACCAGGTACCACGATTAGTCGTTCTACGGCGTCCATTAGCTCTCTAACATTCTTAAACCTTCGGGAACAAAGATTGTTGATAGCGTAAGTGGCCTTCTGAGCCCCTTGTGGGTCATGCCACCTGTTGTACACGGACCGTTATGAACTCTTCCAATGTCTGGGATTATGACCAGGCATCGAAGTTTTGACCGTAGCCCTGTTGCTGCACTAAGCCATTTAACCAGCGGGCTGCTGATCCTTCTAAAAAGGAGGCAGCCACTACCACTTCTTGCTCTCGCCTTGTGAGCTTATGCCTCACATAAGTAGGCACAGTTCTCACCCAGGTGTCCAAGTCTTCCTCCGTCTTCTTATCACCGGAGAAGGGCTTGGGACTCATCAAAGCTATCTTGGGCATCCACTGCATAGGCTGCATGGGCCCAGGTGCTTGCTGCAGTGGCTGCATAGCCATTGAAACTGGCTGTTGCATACTAACCTGAGCCTGGCTGGACAGTGGGACTGTAGTGACCACTGTTGTAGATGGTACGGCTGAGACTGAATGAACCGGACCACTAGTTGCTACTAAACCACCCGGGGAGGGTATGCCAAACATGGGAGAGAAAGTTTGCCCTGTGCGTTGCGGCATCGATAATGGACCCGCAGCTGCAGGGGGAACTACAGCAAATTGTGGCGGCCTCACCATAGTGCGAGGGCCCCGAAGTTCAGCCAGAATTTGTTTCTGGCCTGCTACCAAATCAGCCAACAATTCCTGCTGAACGCTTTGCGCTTCCGCCACTGAAAGTAAGGCGCCTCGCAGCACACGGACAGCAGGGTCTAATGTTGACTCATCTAGTCTTTCCAGTCTGCCTAGCTCCTGAGCTCTACTCTCTAGTTTAGCCTTTCTTTGCATAGCTTTCCTTCTCCTCTCTAGTACGTCGTCCATCTGCCGCTGTAACTCGTCCTGAAGTTCTTCTGCCTGGCGGATTTCTAAGTCCTCCGCCGTGAGTGGAGACTGGCTGACTCGCACATGACCAATCTGACTAGTGACTCCTTGAGTACCACTCTGACCAACTCCTGACGAAGTGGGCTGTGTAGAGGATTGCGTCATAGATGAGGTAGCCATGGTTGCACTGATGCTAGTTGAAACTCTAGCCCTAGCACTGTCCTCAGCTACCCTTGCTCTCCTTGCCGCTGTCCTCTCTCTAGCCTCTCTCCTCAATCTTCTCTCGTCTCCTGGACCTAACTCCAGGAATGTCAAGGGTCGACTGCGGGCAGTCCCGCGAGTAGTCCTACGGTCGTCCACTAGTAACTCCTCCTCACTTGTGCTTGCATCACTCATGAGCTACAGTGTGTGTGATCTAAACTAGAATCCACACTGAATCCTGCCTTAGCTTGACCCACATCCGCATATGATACACAACTACTTTCGGTCGGCTAGAACAGAAATGGTTAGGTGATGTAGTTGCAACTAATGTCAGGTTCTACATGATATATTAATTCTATTTTTGGATTACCCTGGAACAGATTGCACTACAAAGATCTAATCTATTTGTAGTTGTCTGTCAGTTGTTAGCGAAGTTTGTCACAACTAGATAATCAAAATAAAATAACATCTCCTGTTGGAGATGTACACTAAATGGCAGATTGTCTGTTGATTGCCACTGTGAACAGTTACCGGAATCCCCCTCTCCCCCTGTATCCTTCTTGAGTAATCACTTCGTGTCAACGTCCCTGAGCATCTGGTTTAAGCAGCGTGTCTGAAGGTGTGCAATCCGGCCCACCCCTGTGCCCCAAGTCTTTGCCGAACATGCCAGCCAGTCCACTCTTATTTACCCTCGTACGGAACGAGCCTTACACCCGGTTGATCTGGCTGATCAGGAGGAATTTAAAGAGTGCCCCCATCTCTTCAGGAGTCAGGACGACGATCACAGCCAGATTCAGATCGGAGTCCCCAACCAGAAATGTTTATAGACGGTCTGGTAAGCGTCTCATAAAAGGCTGGCATGCCCAGGTAGACCTCTAATGCGCAAGCAGCAGAACCAAGGGCTTGCGCCCAAGCATGCGTGTACTAGTCCCAGCGGGTTGGCTTGGTGACCGTGACCCGAGTGCTTCGTCCAGGGCCCTTCAGAGGCTACGCAGGTCTCCCACCGGTTTCTATTCTTCCCATTGTTCCGCCTTCATTGCCAGTGACATCTTCTGTTAGAAACATCGCCACTCCTCTTATTGTGTATCATCGTCGACGACGCCTCCTGCAGACAGTCCAGCTGCTTGCACACAGCCACAGCACCATGTYTYATGCYCTTCCATGTTCGTTTGTCCCCCAGCTGTGCAACAGGATATGGTCCCTGCCCAGAGTACACTCCCAACGACAGTCCCTACTCACGATGTGGCCCCGAACGCTGAGGGCCTGGGACATGATCAGCTCGGACTGCATTTAACC